TCTCTCTCTCTCTCTCTCTCTGAGATAGGGTATTCAGGTTGGGCCTGAATTCAGTATGTAGGCCAGGTGTGGTGGTACATAGTAACCCCAGCACTTGGGAAGCTAAGGCAAAAGGGGTGTCACAAGTTCAAGGTCAATGAGGGCTACATAGTGAATTCAAGGCCAATCTGAATTATAAAGTGAGACTCTGTGTTAGAAAATATAAAACAAAACAAGACAGAACTCACTATGTAGCCCAGGCTGGCCTTGAATTTACAGTGATTGTCCTGCCTCAGCCTCTGAGTGCTGGGATTACAGGCACATGCCACCAATGAAATTCATCTCATTGGCTTATAAAATAAAAATATGTGGTCATATAATTTAAATATTCCAAAAATTTCCCAGAAATTGGGTAAAAATTTGGCAAATGAACCAGTTTATTATTTAATGAATAATAAATGGCCAGGCATGGGAGCACATCTGTAATCCCAGCACTCAGGAAGCTGAAGAAGGAGGATCACAGTGAGTTCAAAGTCAACCTGGTCTACAGAATGAGTTCAAAGACAGCCTGAACTACATAGCGAGACCTTATATCAAAATTTTTTTAAAAAAGATTTAACAAAAACAACTATGTAGTTTAATAAAACCAACTTCTTTAGTTTATTAGCATTGATTATAATCTTATATTTTTATTGTTACTTAGGTATGTTGTTCCTAGACTCTAGATTCATTGATTAAATATGTTAGCATTACTTCTATTTAAATAGAAGTTTAAGATTATGGAATATCTAAATTTGTGCTTGAATAAATAGATTCATTAATCTGAGCGTGTTTCAGCAATAATTATGTTTTATAGTATGTGAGCTGGGATATTTATCCCAGATCTCTAAGTATCCTAAATCCTTGGGCTGATACTAAATTCAATTAATGGTTACTAATTGAATGCTGTATTAGTTAGCTTCATGTAACTAAAACAAAATGCCTGAGACAACTAACTTATAAGAGAAATGTGTACTTTGGCTCATAGTTTTGGAAGTTCCAGTCTAAGATTGGGAAGACCCATTGTTTTAGGCTTCTGATGCAGGTTAGTGATGGTGACAGTCGGGAGTATGTGACAAGCAAACCACTCACTTCAAAGGCAGGAAAGAGAAGAAGACCCCTGGGCCCTGTGATTCCTCTTGAGAGCACCTTTCCATTGGCCTCGGGACTTCACAAAAGACTGCACCTCCTGGGTTCTACGGCCCCCCATATCATCACTTGGGGACCGAGCCTTCAATGGACAGACCTTTGAGGAATTCTCAATGTACAAACTGTAGCAGATGCCTAGATCATTTCTAAGAGAGAATCTGAAATGTTGACTACTAAGCATCATTTTAAGCTCGTGTACTTTTGCTTCTTTTTACGCACTACAAAGAAGTCATATCTTTGAGTCTGATAATGAACATGCTCATTTTTGAATGAATGTGTTCATATAATTTTGAAAAGTTGCATACAGGATGTGTTTGTACAGAACTGTACAATGTATATTCATATGCTCTGCTAGTCTAAAATGCTAATGTGTGATAGTTGACAATGATCTGTCTTGCAAAATTGGAGTTTATTCTGTAAATAGACGTTCTTTTGGTTAAAAGTTATAATCAAATGAGACTCTACTATAATCAGTCCTGATGAAGTACAACTTTATATGCAAAGTAAGGAACTATGTTTTTGTTAAGGGAAAAAGAATATTCATATACTACACTGAGATGATTGGGCTGTTCTAGGGGAGGAAAGATGCATGTGAAGAACAAAACCTGAGAGGAAAATAGCAGAAGTTTCTCAGAAAAGGAGATGTGTGTGTGTGTGTGTGTGTGTGTGTGTGTGTGTGTGTGTTACTGGGGATTGAACACAGGGCTTTTGCACTGAGCTACACCTCCAGCTCTTGTTATTTTTTATTTTGAAACAGAGTGTAACTTGCTAAACTACTTGGACTGGGCTTGAGATTGCACTCCTGCCTCAACTTCCCAGAATGCTGAGCTTATAGGTTGATGCTCTCTACAACTGGCCCAGAAAGGCGCTTTTTTTTTGTCTTACCTTATAGACATACA